GGTACAGTTTTCAATCTTAGAGAATGGGAAAGCTCAGCTTGTAATTCTATTTCCAGACCTCTGCCTCTTCCAATGTAAAAGCAAACATTTGTAATCCAGGTCTCAACAATTCATGATTGCATTTCAGAAGCAAGACATCTAGGAAGATAAAGCGAATCAGACATGATGACTATTCTCTTTCTTATATATATTCTCAACTTGAGCATCTTCTGCCTTCCCAAACAATTTCTCCCGAGAATCCCGATATCCTGTGTCCCGACCACGTTTGGAATGACAATTCAATGACTCGAAATATTCAGCGGAAGTTTCTAATGATAAAGAGGTTGAATAGACGCGATTCTGACGTGCGGGGTAGTGTGTATAGAGCAATTAGTAAGTAAATCAGATTAGAGAGATACCAACGACAGGAGAATGTATGAAGACTATTTACTGTCTAGCGTCAAAACCATATCTTCACGAATTCCAAAGACGTACCTGAAAGATGAGACACTTGCCTCGTCCACGTCAATGAAGTCACATACCGTCGGGAACATTGACAAGAAAGACAAGATCAAAGTGCAAAAGATACATCTGTATTAGTCACTCGTGTATCAACGATCTATGACCTAATCACATGTATGCCACTTAACTCTCCCGACCTCTCTTCAACTCAATCCACTCAACCTCAAAAATCCGCCCATACTCCCCTAACCATGCAAGAAGACCAGCCGGCACGGTCTGTCACTTCCACGCTCAAAGGCTTCGACCCAATAACAAGTCTGTACGCAAGCAAGCAGGTAGGCAGGTATGCAGAAGCAGAGAAACCAGGATGATAGACCCTATCAAAATGAGACGCCGTCAAAAATGCTGCAACAGAATTCACAATACCAATTTGACTACCCTGATATCCACCCGGGCACTTGACAAAAGAAAACTTCATCCCGCTGAAGGTAGGAGGGAAGATGAAAATCAAGGACAGCCAGCAAAATGCCAAAGTGGGTATCGCTGTCCATTCATCCAGTTCAACCATCTTACACGATTGTCGTCCGCCAGAATTGCAAGAAATATGTGCATTAAAGGAGCGAACAAGATACATCCGGACGCTTTTGCTTTTGGAAGAAAAAGAGAAGCTGCGCCGGGATTTGCTTTTATGTGCCGCACCAAGTCGAATGACGAAAGAAGATGAAGGTGTCTAGTATCTGTTGATACTGCCAGAACTAATCTCGGCTCGCTTCATTGGTGGAGGTGGCGGTGGCTTCTTTGCTCTGCTAGGTGGTGGAGGAGGTGCTTTTCGACCATTCGTAGCATTGTTCAAGGTTGAGTAGCTGGCGGTTCTGCTTCCTACACTTCCATGAGAAGTTGCTGGACTAACAGATCTAGCACTGTATGATCGGTCGGGACTGGCGCTGTTCAGAGTAGAGTCATCGGAAGGATCACCGAAAACATCAGGACCGTTGGTGTTGACTCTGCTTGAAGGCCGAAGTTGTGCGCGTAGAGAGCCTGGATCCTGTGGAACAGACTGCTTGCGGTAACCCGAAACTGGTGTGGATTCACGGTATATGGCAATTGGACCCTGGAATGTGGATGCGCGACCAAAGTTTGGCCTATTTGGAGACTCGACTTGAGGATATTCGTCATGTGTATCGAGACGGGTATCAAGGCGGGAAGAAGATGGAACACGGCCTTGAGATCTGATGGTAGGTCTGACTTCTGGTTCTGGCATTGGTGGAGCCTCTTCCTGGTATCTGTCGCTGTAGGAATGGGCTGTGTTGGATCGGGATCTTGGATTCGGTCGTCTAGAATCTCGTTGAGGGGAGGTTTGTCTGTTGGTATTAGTGAGGTACGCCAAATGCATCGTTGGAACTTACCCTGCAGGCCAGTCTCTCTTCAATCGAAGAAGCTCATCGCGACATTTGTCATAGTACTCCAATTCGGACTCCAAGAATGCGCCCAAATCCGCAACACTTTCTGCTTCTGCTTCCTTGATATCCTGCATACGTCTGAAAACGTCCTCGTTGGACTCTTCGTATTTAGCCTTCTGGGAACGGAGCTCCTCTTCGACCCGGAAATCCTCCCTCTTTGCCTTTTGCATCTTCGAGAGGGACGCATCGTATGCCAATCGACGTTGCTCAAGCTTCTTGCGCGCAGCCTACGAGAGTCAGTAATTGTACGGAAAGAATCCGCGAATCCATACCTGATATTCCTTCATCATCGCCAATGATCGTTCCAGTGACTCCAACCATCCTGTTGTGACATTGGCTACGTAGCTCTCCTGTGTCCGGGCAATTCTCTCGTTTGCTCTTCCCATGCCTATGCCAGTCAGTACATTTCCCTACTATTTGGCCAGATATACGCACTTATGAGACAATTGCCAAACTCCGAATCCGGCTCGAAATCCTCGCCATGGTGTATCATCGTCTGGCCAAGATACCCGACTGGCAAGACCTTCTCCTTATCCTCAACCTCGTTGCGTCTCGAGAGCGACTTGACGTAGACGGTCATGGACTTTTGTAATTTCTCCATACCTGTGTAGGATCAGCATCTGCCATTCTCGCAGATCGAACAAGCATACCTTCGTGCCTCAAGGCCATCTCCATCTCCAGAGCTTTGAATTCGTCAGACACGCCGGTCTTGGACTCCTGTCCCATCTTCTCCCCTGCCCATTGCTTGACCCTGTCGAGCTTCTTATTGATATTCATGTTTGCGGTTTATGGATCGAATTGGTGTATTCGAAGGTGTAGGATTCGAGGAGGAAGAGAATCGGTAAGGTTGGCGGGGTTGGTGTTGTTGTTGTTATTGTCGCTGAGAGAATAGCAAGCCACCCAATTTGTGAATTTATCCAAGGGATGGTAGGTTCTTGGTCCGAGTAATGTCACAAGGGACAGTAGCGACAGTGTGGTGTAGAAAGGTGATCAGAAACAGCAGAACCCGGGGGACCCAATGCTATTGGGATTTTAAGGCCGTGAGAGAATGAGGTGATCCTGGTTTTGTGGACGAGTGAGTGAGTGGTGGTCGAAGAGTCCTGTCCTGTCCTGTCGAGGAAGATCGGTGGGAGGGAGGGCCGGAGAAAGAGTGGATTAGGAAGAGAGTGGGTTCCTGGCCGGTTGGGTTGGTTTGGGAAGGAGATAACAGCGTCGAACGTGGGATGGGATGGGATGGACAGGATGTGTCGAGTCGTATCTGTCAATTCATGCAGTTGGAAGGTGCGCTGCAGAAGAAAACGGTGGGTTGTGGAGGAGCATATGCGGAACAGAAAAAGAAGAAGATGTGAAGCAATTCAATGCACTACGAATGTACTGTTTGTGTAGTAATTTTGTTAGACACATACATACAATACTGATCAAAAGTCCGGGGAGGGTTGGGGTGGTATTGTTATTTTGTTGGATGACAGTCTTGGGCCCTGTCCTGGTTGACCTGGTGTTATCCCGTAGTTATCCTCTATCCTCCCTATCAAGCGCAATTCGATATCTCCGCCAAGACCCGCCACTCGACCTGCATTTGCCTGCCCCTGTCCTGACCTATCTTCTCCTCTTCTCTTTGTCGCTACAAATAATCATCCTATCCTATCCCGTTTCACCCCTCAACGCCTTCTCCTCATGCCTCAGGAAAATTGCTGTGAGTCTAGCTTCTAGCAAGTCAAGTCAGGAACCCAGACCCTGATCGCTCACGCTATCCAATCGGTCCCGTCTCACTCCACGACGGGCATCGACAGCGTGTCAGTTGGTCTAAGCCACCATCTTTTGTGGATGAAACTCTTTTCTCTCCGTTTGGCTAAAGTCTGACGCGGCAAAAAAAACCGAAGGGCGACATTCCAGCACGCGCGGAAACACGAGGTCCTCTCGATCATCAAGTGGCAACGATTCATCCTCATCAAGCGCTCAATCCCACCCAAGCATCGTCCCGGCATCCGGTGATGGGAAGTCTGGGTGTCCTGACAGACCTGTATGGAACCTTAAGGCAGATATATTTAGAGGTCCACTGGAGTTTCAGATGAGGCCAATCTTGGTCGTCCAACTAGATTCCGGAGCTTAAATTCGGGTGAGTACGCCGTCGATGACGCCGTTGAGAACTTGCAGAGTTCTAGAACAGGCCTTTAGAGCATCTATGATTTGCTACACATGTGAGCGTTTCGCTGGCGCTTTTTAAGGTTGTGTCTGAAATATCATGGAGTTTGAAGAAGATCAGAGATTGAAATGTTTTGTCCCAAGAGATGTCAAGGCTTCCTATACATGACGAGTAAGTTTGAACTGTAAATGCGGAATTTGCCTTTTATGATGTCAGATTGTAAGAGATCAAATGGGTTGACGAATTCAACCGCTCTGAACTTTCATAAAGATGAGATGATTCGCCCTCGGTTTCTGATGAGTGAGCTGTTCCGAGGAAGCCGATCTGAGATTCGCACGTAAGATTCGATATACGATTTGATATCCTGTCGGAGGATGGTGTACGGACTTTCCCAGGACTTCGGCTTCTTGCCAGTTACGACTTGACGCCGTATTGATCGTATCGTGAGGTCGAGGAGGGATCTCTACCCCGCGCTTCCGTACAAGAGGCAGCTCTTCAATTGGGGAGGTTGAAGAGGAGATGCAAATCGCTAGGGTAGTCCGAATAGAGGGACCAGGTCCAACACTACAATTGAAGAAATCATCTCTCCATCTGGCGTAATCGTAAAGTCTCGGAGTTCTGTAGTGAATTGTATCTTGGCTAGAAGGAAAAGGGGATGCGCTAGCGTTGTATCGACCACACTCCCAGAGCCTTTCACTAGCACACAGGGCGCTACATGGTACATAAATATCAAGATACTGCTCAAGTCCATGCAAATCAGTTCAGTGCTAGATACATAATTGGCCTTCGTCCACCGCTGGATTTCTGTGGTACACCATTTTGACCTCGGGACCAAAAGCGGTTCCACCCATTGGTCGGCTCTTAGTCATGAAGCAGGGTGAAGATTTCTCCCACAACACTAATGGTTTTAGGTAGTGTAATAAGACGTTTTGCGACATCACACGTCAAAAAGAGACGTCTTCGTGGCTCAGTTGGTTAGAGCGTTGGTCTCATATGCTAAATATGAAGTGATTGAAGAACGATCACATGATATCCAAAGGTCGAGAGTTCGAGTCTCTCCGAGGACAATCCATCCTTGAATACATTTTCTTTTTGCATTTTTTGATGCTTGTTATTGTTTGGGAATGTGGTTTTCTTGAAAAAATGGCTTGGGGCAATAAGCGAGCAGAGACTGATAAAGCGGGGCTCCAAACCACCACTCTTGAGTCCGCAGGGACGGAGGCTCTATTTAGAATGCTCTAGATGTCATGAAAGATCTTTCTGACATTTGCTAAAGTGAGATTCCAAGAATTATTCCTTACTTGCCAGACGAATATTTGTTCTTCATTTGTTGAGCAGGCCCCAACCAGTCCAACACCCTTTCTGGATTCCGAAAATTGGATGATGAGTCCTTCATTTTGCTTCAAGATGGTTGCATGTCCATACCTATGCTATCTTTCTATATGACCTGTAATCAGGTTAGTCACTATAATTATCTGTCGCATTGGGCAACTTGCTTGGTGCTCAAGAGTCGAGACTGAAAGGGGAGAGGAAGGGTGAACTAGTCGAGACCTGGTGAGCCCTCAGCGCTGGGTGATGCAGACCTCACCCAGAATGGGGAGCATAGATCTGCGAAACAGAATAGTTATATGTATCCTTACTCATTCAGCACTTGAAATTAATCAGAAGGTGTTCTGACCGCCAGATTGTGCAAGTGACCAGCTGCAGTTTGAGTCTCCTTGCTGATGCAGAGTTGGCGACCTGGCAGCTTCCGACATGTGTCTGACCAAGATGCACTGGGGTTTTCCCGTTGCATCTGTTCTCAAGCGCAGTGATAAAGCTGTCGCTAGATGTGTATCTCTCTTGCCTAAGTCTTCTTGTTTACGTTGGGATTGCTCTAGCTCGCTTAGACGCTACCAGGAGAATCTCCAGGTCTAGCCAGGAAGCGTAGCGCATATCTAAAATCAAGCTGAGAAGGGCTAAGTCGTTTTCCTACAAATGCTGTAGTGGTAGGTCGTACAACCGCATCTTCCCTCAGGAAGAAAAATCATGTGCATCTCATGTGACCCTATTTCGGTTCTACATTTTCGCCCGCATTCCGTCTTCATCGACGTCACCGATTAACGAAACCAACACCCTAACACCCCGCACTTCACCCGCTCTCTCATCTCATCTCGCCTCATCACACAGCATCCGCTCATGACATTTCAAATGTCAAAACGCGGGGAGACCGAAGGCTGCCGCCTTGTGAAGAGATGGAGTGTAGTAGCTCATCCGCCATCGAAAAGGACTCATCGATCCGTATGGCGATTAGAAAACCGGTCATCTTCGCCCTACCATCCTTTGATTAGTATCGATGGATTGCGATACATGACCTTGAGAAATGCGTATCAACTTGATCGTACGAGTCAAAACGCTCAATTAATGGGGCTATTTTGAATCAGAACCTTATGAGATGTCCAAGTATCAAAAAAGGAGCACCACGAGCTGCCTGCCTTTCTTGGTCTTTGCCAACACTTTCAAACACAGATCCCGAAGCGCAGGATTATGATTGGATCTTCAAAAGCAGATATCACAGATCTGAGGCTCAAAGCAGCCAAGACGGCAATCCTCGTTACGAGATGCAAGATCAACATCAGATTCTCACAAAGGCAGCCACCCGCCCACAATAATACCGCCGAGGCTACCTCATCATACAGATTAATCGCCTCATCTACCAGCGTACGCCGCATCCGCATCTCACCTGCATGGAACTGTTGGCGTGGGATTGGAATGAGATTTTATGGAGTTCTCATAAGGACATACGTCATAGTATTTGCTATCGCCGATGGCCTGTCAATTTTTGACATACCGGAGCAACAAGCTGCACAACTTCTGGAGGAGTACATGACCTGCAAAACTAAGTCGGCTTACCGATTCATCCTGCCGATCTCTCACGTCAAATCAGGTAAATGGTTGCATACGCAAGGTACCATAGGCCGAACGACGAAATCCATAAACCCCACCTCTCACAATTCCGATTCTGGTAAGGAAATTTTGGTCTGCCAACGAAGCAGAAGTCCTTAAATGAGGTTCAGACATAGGACATATTACCTCTTCATACTCATCGAATTGTTATATAGAACTTTTTACAGAATTTCAAGTCAGTCTATCAAATGGCACACGACCGATTTCGGGTAGCGCAGCTGTGCCGTTAGACCCGCCTCCTCGAAGTCGAACTAAGCTTCAAGCAGCGCGACTAAGCATTTCACAGCGGCCTTGACCAAAGCTTCCTCGATCTCCAAGTGGAGGCTCACACCTCCTCGTACAGGATATGACGTATTCCGAGATGTCGGTACCACAGTTATTGACTGCTGGTCTCCATGGTCTCAAATATTATGAGCGAGCCATCCCATCTTTTGTCTGATGCTCTTAAAGGATCGCATTTCCTTCTTCTTCCCCTCCACCATCTCTCCCCACAGTGTGTTCGCTCAGCTGGCGTGGTATTAGTTGGATTTAAATGAGCTATCGGTGGTAAACCCCACATGTATCTCGATTTGTTCTGAGAATGTTACAACACAATCCCATTTCTTCCAATTATCAAACACGCATCATGGAGAATCCTGGAGAGAAGAGCGCGAAAACAGCGCCAATGACCGAGAATGGACATGACGACACGATGAATGAAAAGAGAATTAATGGGTCGGAAACCTCATCCACAACCAGAGCGGAACACGATACACCACACACAGAAAAGACGGAGGACATTGCACCTCGCACCTCACACCACCCACGGTTTGGGGAAAACCAGGTATTCATGCCACCAACAAACGGCTCTGGTGATGCGGACGACCTTCCAAATGCCAAACAAGTCGGCACATACGACAAGGTAGAGCTTACAGAGGACATGTGCTATGACGAGCTGGGATACTCGTTTCCAGAGTGGAAGAAATGGTAAGAATTCCCGAACATATACTTCAGGCTAGGCACTAACAGATATCAGGATGATCCTCACCATCATTTTCCTCGTCCAAGTCTCCATGAATTTCAATACTAGTCTATACTCGAACGCGATCCCCGGTATAACGGAGAAATTCAATGTTAGCGCACAAGCAGCAAGATGTGGTGCAATGATTTTCTTGGTCCTTTACGCCTTTGGTTGCGAACTCTGGGCACCATGGAGTGAGGAACTTGGACGATGGCCGATTCTGCAGCTCAGTTTGCTGCTTGTCAATATCTGGCAGCTGCCCGTAGCTCTTGCCCCGAACTTCGCCACAATCTTGGTAGGCAGAGCTCTTGGTGGCATATCCTCCGCAGGTGGATCGGTCACACTCGGAATGATCGCAGACATGTGGGAAGCCGACAACCAACAATACGCAGTCGCATTCGTTGTTTTCTCCTCTGTTGGTGGCTCCATCCTGGGTCCCATCGTCGGTGGATTCAGCGAAGCCTATCTTAGCTGGCAATGGTCGATCTGGATCCAGCTCATTTTCGGCGGATTTGTCCAGGCCCTCCATTTCTTCTTCGTCCCAGAAACGAGATCAACGATCATGATGGACAAAATTGCCAAGAAGAGACGCAAGAACGGCGTCGACAAGAACATCTACGGACCCAATGAACTTGTGCCATTCAGAGATCGATTCTCAGCAAAGGAAATTTTGGTCACATGGATCCGACCATTCAAGATGTTCTTGACTGAGCCTATCGTCCTGACTTTGTCACTTCTTAGTGGTTTCAGTGATGCTCTTATCTTCATGTTCATCCAATCGTTCGCTTTGGTGTACGATCAATGGAACTTCAGTACCGTTGCCCTTGGACTGGCTTTCATCCCCATTGGTATCGGATATGTTATTGCATGGATCTCGTTCATTCCGGTCATCAAGCGGAATATCAGAGAGCGACATGCAAAGCCCGACGACGAAAGAGTACAATACGAGTCCCGTCTTTGGTGGCTCTTGTACACTGCACCATGTCTCCCAATTGGTCTTATTGGATTCGCATGGACTTCAACCGGCCCACCAATCCATTGGATGGGAACTATGGTCTTCGCAGCCATCGTTGGGATTGCCAACTATAGTATTTACATGGCAACCATTGACTACATGATCTGTGCGTACGGTCCATACTCCGCCTCAGCAACAGGAGGCAACGGCTGGTCCAGAGACTTCCTCGCTGGTGTTCTCACCATTCCAGCAACTCCATTTTTCACAAGTAAGCCTGCCCTCCTATCCTCTCCTCAGAACGTCACTAACCTCAACCCCCAGATATTGGCAGCAACCCGCTTGCCTACGCATCCACAATCCTGGCCTGCATCTCCTTCCTCCTCGTCCTTGCAGTCTACGTGATCTACTGGAAAGGTCCCGCGCTCCGTGCACGCTCGCCCTTCGCCCAACAACTATCCGATGCCCGTAACGACCAAGATACTCTTGGTCGTCGCTTGTCCAAGATCCCGTCTGAGAGCCAGAGACGTGCGAGTGCTGTGAGAGCCAACTCGTATGTGAGATCGCAGCAGGATTTGAGGACCAGACATGCGTTAGGAAGTAGACAACAGAGTTATGCTGGACAGGCTACGCCAAATAGAACACCTAATAGAACTCCTGTTGCTAGTCGGAGGAATAGCTTGGCTGGGCATGGGAAGAAGACGGTTGCGTGAAGGAAGGCGGAGTTGTAAGATTTACTAGATCTTTGTATAGCATTTGTATCTATTAGCGGCGTCAGACGTATATTAACATATACTCAACCTGAACTACATCGAAAACGGATATATTTCACAAGTCTGTTGGGTATTGCTACGAGGTTGTGACCGAGGTCCTTCTATTGGGCACTAGTAGTGTAAACGTCCATTTGCATTTCTGTTTCCATCTTTGGAACTCCACGCCGAGCGACGAAACATTTTCAGAAATGATACATTAAAAAGATCTCCATCCTTTGAATAGACATCCAAATTGTACCATTCTCTTTCACAGAAACCCCAAAACCGGACAACATCACATGACTCTCCGCAAGGAACATTCGAAAGTGGGGCATTTGAGGGGCAACTGGGGCATCTTCCGTAAGAACCACCAACCAAGCAGGATCAAGAAATCCGGACGTAACGTTTCTCTTTGCT